TATGTATGTATGTATATTTTGATATAAATATATATATATATATATATATATATTAATATCAAATATAGAGAAGAAAAGAAGAAAGGGGTTAAGGAGTGGAAAACCACCACCACTACCCCAGAAAAGGTTACAGGAGGTATAGGGGGCTTAACCCCAGAAAATTACAGCAATGAGAAGAGAAAAAATGGGGTAGAGAATCCACTCACACAGAGTAGGTGGAAAATCCAACCCATTCAAATATACCTCCTTAATGTAAAACGTCACATAAATAGGGTAAATAAACCTTTAATAGAAAAAATTATGCTATATACACCAAAACAGTGTATGTAAATAGTGATAAAGTAAATACCAACACCAATAAAAGCCTAGGAACGCTAAACCCATAAAGTCACATTACTGAATATAGGATAAAGGTGAGTAAGTAATATTTGCCTTTAAACGGTCAAAGTAAAATCACCTAAATAAACTAATATATAAGTGACAACGCGGTCTAGTCTAGTCATACAATTGAAGAGAAAAAGAAAATGGTATTAATGGGATAGTAGATATCTAACGATGGTAATAGTGTCGGCAGCAAAAGAAGGGCAGAACTAAAGATACAGATAAGGGCGTATGGACTGAGTAATAAGATGTCTAGGGGTTAATGGTACCTCCCTACAAAATGGGGGAAAAAGGGGAGGTAACTTAAAGGATATAACTATACCAAAGTAGAATATGCACCCTTATTCTAAACAGATGTAAGGAGTGAAGTAACCCCTATCAATCTCAAGTTGACATAGATAGCCACAAGAGATCCTAGTACGCCCTATACTGACTGTCTAGCCCAAAATGGCAAAAGCTTACTGCTGCTTCGTGGCAGCCTAACGAAGTCCCTAGAAAGCTAATAGTAATGCTCAGCGCATGACCGATGCCGTGGGAGCCCAGGTAGATACAGAAAAAGAAAAGGTAAGTTTAAAATAATAGCATCGGCTAATATCAGCTCGACGCGCGTTTCGGCATGTTCAAAACGCCTTTGTCAAGAGCTACCTCTATTGTGGCTATCTTTGTCAACATGAGATTGATAGGGGTTACTTCACTCCTTACATCTGTTTAGAACTTGGGTGCCCCGCAGTGAGGGGGGTATTCCACGATGCCTCGATATCGAGGCATTGTGTAATACCCTTAGAGAGCCTGGAAGCGATCACGATTGCTTCCAACACTCATTTTGGCTGCGGACATACACGGTACGTCAGCGATCGTTAACTACAGTTTTTTTGCTGAGTTACCCTGTACGTCCGTGGTCACTAAGGGGTTAATGGAATCAGAAAGCACCATATCCACTAGAGCTCGCTGTAGTCGTTAAAATATTTTGACCTCTTACCTGTTGTCTGCCAATCGCTGCTCCTTTCTTTCACTATAATCTTCCAAGATCCAGAAATTTCTTAGCAGAAACTTCTATTAGCAGTTCATTCACCATTTCATTTCAATGACTGGAAAAAATGAGCAATTAAAATTTTTTATTATTATTCTAAGCTCCAACATATTTCAGGGACAGAGGGATTTGGGCCCAAATTAGGGACTGTCCCTCCTAAATAGGGACACTTGGGAGATATGTTTTACATTTTATTTAGATTCAATATAACATACTTATTGTCTGTCCCACTTTTAATTATTTGTGTTTGGTGTAAGTTTAGTATAAGTTTCCAAACTACCTTGGAGGTTATGCAGTTAAATTAACATGGAAATGTGTTTAATTAAGCATACCTTCATCTCTAATAAATATACACATTCATCTATTTTCTGTTAAATAATACACACTTTTTTAAGGGATGTCACATTATGCTATAATCATATTACAAAATGCAAGCCATTTAATCATTCATGAAAGAAGTATTAATCAAAAATGTACTTATGACCTCTATAAATAAGTTTGAAAGGAAATGGTTCTTAAAAGTAAAATCTTCATTATGATTATTGCAAAAAAACAGTTTTATACCTGTATTTCTTTTAAATGATCAGTGAGATTTAAAGGAAGACTATAGCATTAGTGTAATGGTATTAATATAATGATTTCCGACATAAAATAAAGCATAATGAGTTTAATGCATTAGAGGCACCACTAGGGGCAGTGTGTAGGATTCTGAAAGCCATGTGCTTCTGGGAGTGGCATCACAGGCCAGCCTACTTAGGAATACACTGGGAATAAAAACCAGATGTAGGAAGGATTGAGTCTCTTTGCCTTACGTGACTGAACGTAAGATGGAGTACCAGCTCTGACTTAACCCCAGACAAAGGACTGGGGCCTAGTAAGTAATATGAATCCATTGTAACATTTAGCAACTGTTATAGCCTTTTGTAAGGAATATGTTGTAGTTTTTATATAGTATAATTATTGTAGTAAATTTACATTCTTCTAGCATTGTTTACTTGTTATTATAATTATATTAAATATACATTTAACATTACAACGTTTTGTGTATTTTCTATTCACATATTCGACCATAATACCACAAACTATAAAAAAAAATGTTGTTACTTATTGCTTAATTATTATATATTAATTAAAATATTAATATGCATCTTTAAGTCAGGGTCACAACAGTTAGGAATATAAAATTGTATTCACAACGATATAGTGTCGCACTGCCTCCACTGCTCACTTACCTCTTTCCAGTGCGAACGTCCCTTGGTGTTGGATTGGTATCCTCTTCCAGCAATGTTTTGTCGATAGGGGGACCTATTATGCATGAGTGGCAAGTGCTGAATACACATTAAACCTTCCCCCATTGGAAAGAATTGAATCAGTGCTTTACCATGTGGATTTTGAAGATACTTGATGTCCTCATGCAAAGCGTGAATTCAGAAAGCGCAATTAGTTTCTATGAAACTGCAATGTATTACATTGCAGAATTATGGGGCTAGTGACACTGTACCTAGACCACTTCAATGAGTTGAAGTGGTCTGGGTGCCTATAGTGAAACAAAAATAGGAGTAGGTTACTGCAGTACCAAAGAGTCAAAATTGAACCCACCTTCTGCCTCTAAGTCCCATTACCTCCTATGTTGCATAAATCTAAAAAAAGCTTTAGATTTAAAGAGGTAGTTGACAAGTTCAATAGTGTCACTCAAAGTTTACAGGAAGAGATATCGTAAATAATACAAATGTTTTGGCACACCATCCACTATCAATTTATTATATCACTATTGTACATTGGTAAAACACATTTACAGCAGGAAGTGACTTCTATTAACATTTTAATATGCAATCCTATATACTAAAAAGCATACATATTAAATAAAATTGAAGATTATATTAGCTTTAGTGTAATAATAATCTTAATTTTAGTAATGACAGGAGGCGAATATTTGCATATCTTTCTTTACTGAAAACTCCAGCAGCATAGAAACATAACAACCAATCAGAAAAAAGTTATGATGCCCATAAAAGGCCCTGTCTATGACATCACTTCCTCTTTCTTTGAAGCGAAACAATAAATAACAACAAGAGACATAATCATATTACGTCAACAGTTCAACAACATATTAGAATATCCAACTCCATTAGTTCCGCGATGCAGAGGTATGGAAGGTGAATCTTTGTCTCGATGAGAAGACGTTCACGCTGCAAGAAAAAGAAAAAGGTGAAAGGTATCTGGCGTGATAACTTGTCCGCATACAATAAACATTAAGCATCTGATATACCAACGAACATTAGAATGTGAAACATATCAATATATATTTATTCTAACGGAATGATATTTAAGAATCTATAAACACAACATAATGCAAGGTTCATGTCTAATATTCAGCAAATACAAGACACACAAGATACAGGTCTAAGTAGCAAACATACAAACCATACGTACTTACCTTCCTGAACATAAAGGACATATTCTGTTCAACACGAGAAACATGGGAGGGATCCTATAGGGTGGGAAATATTCTCCTCCTGTCATTACTAAAATTAAGATTATTAGTACACTAAAGCTAATATAATCTTCAATTTTACCACATGACAGGAGGCTTCATATTTGCATTTTTAAAGCTTTGAATTGACCAATGTGAAGGAAGCATGAGATGTTTGCCGAAAATAGAACGTTCTAAACGTACTCTCTCGCGCTCAGTCCGCGCAGCGTATAATGTCGGCTAGGGAAGCGTCGGCCGAAAAGGTTTGTGAGGCCGCCGCTCCCCTGACCGAGTGGGCTCCAAAACAAGGTTCGACGCCCGCTAAAGACAAAAAAACCAGCGGACCCATCTGTCCAGTGTTGCGGTAGACACCGGTCCATGAGGGTTCACGTAAGAAGTCAGAAGGTGATCCGTCAAATGAGTTCGAAGGGGGTAGAGATATTGGTGTACCCCATTAGTGTTCTGACCACGCATAGTGTGGCGTCTGACACAAAGCATGGGTATGACACTGAAGACAAATCAGACTTAGTTCGTCTCGACATGGTAAAGGTAACCCCGTCTGGTGTGAGAGAGAAACCATCCATATCGCAAGCCCTAACGTCCGCCACCGTCTAAATGAGGCGAGGCATAAGAGTGCTAGTTTGGCTGAAAGTTGCTTCAGTGACAAACAAGGATTGTCCGGCCATTCCCTAAGGAATCTCAGCACCACATCCACCTGCCAGAGGCGTAAATATTTGGGTGCCGGGATCTCGACAATTCGGCACCCCGCAGTAGTCGACAAACCAGTGTATCTTGACCTACTGGTCTGCCCTGTACCGGAACGTGCGCCGCCGATATGGCGGATCTGATCACGTTGAGGGATCGATATGACCGACCCAACGAGACCAGGTGTGACAGATAGTTGAGGATCAGTGGGACAGGTGCGGTAAAGGGATCGGAATCCCTTTCCACACACCAATCACTCCAGGCCGACCAGGCAGAAATATAGCCTTTCCTGGTGCCGGGAGCCTATGAGTCCCATAGGAGGTCTTAGTTGATGCAATAGGTCGTGAACTGACCAGGAGCCCCTGAAACCGTCCAGGCAACTAGTGCCAGTTGTCCTTCCATGACAAGGGAGTGGGCTTCCCCTCGAGGTCCCATCAGAAGTAGAGGGAAGGTAGGGAGTAGTAGAGGGTCTTCGCGAGACATCTCCAGGCGATCCGGGAAATCACGGTTGGCCCTGCCCGAGGGGTGTCATGAGCAGGAGCGATATCTTGTGTGTGTGTATCGAAGCACCCTTGCTATTGTGGAGAACGGCTGGGTCACGTTTGCAGGGGTTCATCCATCGCCCCGTATCTGAAGGAAGAGTCAAAGATCGTTTTGCCAATCCAAGTTTGTATGTGAAGTAATCGCCATCGAAATTCCATCCTCACTTCCGCTGACAGTGGGATCCAGTGGTCGTATGAGTGACCGGTGCGTACGTATCTCACCATCAGTCGTAGTGGGCCAGGGAATAACGCTTGTATGGAGGAGGAGAGGAATCCCACAATCCGACAGCTATCCTTATAGAGGCGCTCTTTGCCGTAGACGGACGCGGAACGTAGTTCTCCAAGCCGGTGTCGAAACCGAGGAACTGACCCGATTCAGATGGAGAAGCGATCTTTGTCTGTGTACAACAAAAAACCCATGGAGTCCCGAAAGTGAACGACAAATTTGTCTGCAAACGTAGCCTGGATTCGTAAATAATCAGCAAGTCTTCCAGGTATACGAGGCATCGCACGCCCAAATTTACGGATGTGTGGTTAGCTTCGCGAGCACCACGGAGTCGTAAACTGCCGTGTTTGTCCTCACCATTGGAATCGGAGGAAAACTTCGGCAGTCCAGGCCAACGGGTACTGACAAGCATGCGTCCTTGAGGTTCAGATGTGTAAACCAGTCGTTATCGCCTAAGAGGTCTTGTAGAAGACGAATTTCCTCCATCTTGCAGCATTTGTATACCATGTAGGAGTTCCATTGATGTAGTCTCCTGGCTTCTTCTTGCCCAGGAAAAATTTGCTGGGGAAGCCTTCCCCTCCGGTGCATGTTGAATTGCGCCCCTCCTGAAGAGGGTGCGGATTTTCTTGTCCACGAGGCGTTCCTGTTCCGCCAGCGTGCGTAATGGAGGTGAAGGGGCGACCTGCACGGCTGTGATAAAACTCTGACATAGCCTTGTACTGTCTGGAGAACCCAGGTGACTTTGGTAGTCATCTCCCAATTCTGTAAAACAGAGACAGGTTGCCGGTCATAATATTGGAAACAGTTAGTTATGTAGGTTGACACACTAGTAGATGAAGCGGATGGGTTCCTTTGTGTAGTAGGTGGGAGAAATATGAGGACTGTGTATACAATCTGGAACCTGTCGCCCAGAAACGGCTGGTGGCTCGGTTCAGCTACCGACCAGTCCTCCCAGAAACACCTTTCCCCGTAGGGTTGTGGAAGACTTGTTTTAGCGAGGTCTGGGTTTAATTTAGTGTGGTGAATAAATTCACGTGTTTCTTGAACACTGCAATGAACACTACATCGAATAGTAGGCCTTGTGCTTTTGGGCCGAATTCTTGTCGTTCCTAAGTCCAATAGTGTGTTGTCGATGCGGCCCAGTACAGATTTGCATCTGTCGGCGCATAGTGCGTCATTTACGTTGCCCAGGAGGCATATCGAGCATTGAGCCCATTCTTTGGAGGTGGTAGGGTTGAGCTGTGTACCCTGGGGTAACTCGGTCTTGAGGCGTGCGCATCCTTCCATCCCCCAAGGGTTGCGCAGCCAATAGTGTTCGTCCAGGAACTTTCCGTCTTCGGCTACTCTGGTTTAGTGCCGCTACAGTTATCTCTGCCTCAGCCGCCGTCACAGAGTAAGGTTTCCCTAACGTACTTCGAGAAAGTGTGGGGAAGGTCTTGCCGTTCCATTTCCTCAGACGGTGAGCTGTCTTCGTGTCGCTCATCTACCATGTCCAAAGTACGTGGTGGGTAATAGTCTTCTTTGTCAGAAGATTGTGGATTCCCGGTGCTCCGCCTATTTGGTCTGTTCGATGGGCGTCTTGCCCTTGACCTTAGTGGCAGGGGGGCTGGAGCCCTTCCCTTGCCGTTTTGACTTGAAGGCTTGTGGGCCTGAGGTCTCCATCAAGCGGTGTGGGGTAGAGTTCATAACAGAACCTTCTCCACTGAGGCCGTTACTGTGGCGTTTATCATTGCCTAGAAATCTTGGGAACGTTGAGTGTTCACCATGACTCGTTCCCGTCCTTTTGGGAGATAGTGTGAGGGTCAGCACGTAGGGGTGTTAGACTCCTGGTAGAACTGGGGATCACCCAGGTAAAACGGTTTGAATTGCCTGCTTTAGTATGTCTGAGAGTATGAATACTCGTGCCAAGTGTAGAGGGGTCACCTCTATTAGTTTAATCTAGCTACTGAGAGCCGTGGTGCAGGCGCGACTGACTGGTAGTGGTGTCGGTCTGGCTAGCCGGGTTCACCACAAATGTATGCCAGAGCTGTATGCACGTTTTTTAACTATACAGGCTTATTATATAGGCGCATGGGGCCTGTCTCCATAAGGTCTGCAGCCGCAGGACCCATGTCTATTAGGCTGGGTTCATCCCAGGTGGTATGCCATGGTAACCCAGAGGACACCCATATTATAATTATTGGCACCTTACAAGCATTGCATGCATATCTGGGGGTCATCCCAGGTGGTGTGCCATGAAAAATTACCCAGAGGACACCCACGTTCAATATGTACACACAGTAAATATACATATATGTATCCCTGTGAAGGGTACACCGCAATACACTCAGTTTTCTTAGTGATCCTGCCGTCAAATCACATCCAGCATGGTACTGTTGCTTTAATGTAAAACTGACAGGCAGTGTTTAACCCCTTAAGGACACATGACATGTGTGACATGTCATGATTCCCTTTTATTCCAAAAGTTTGGTCCTTAAGGGGTTAAACATCCATATATGTCTGTAGTAATCAGTGGTAAAGTTGAGGCGTAGGCCTCCGTACATATGATCGGGGTTCACCCCGGGTGGTGTGCCGTGGTAACCCAGAGGACACCCACATCAAAGGTAATGGTCTGTCAGTGACCTTGCATGCATATCTGGGGGGGTCACCCCAGGTGGTATGCCATGAAAAAATACCCAGAGGACACCCACATAAATTTGCACCGTCAGGTACAGTAATATAATATAACCCTCTGCAGGGTACAATAATATAATATAATATGCCCTTTGTAGGGTACAGTAACACAATATTACAGTGAGATAGTTGATCTTGTTATAGGTACAGTATATGTTTTGTATAACGACTATGATATTGTATGGCTTCACAATAATACATAGATTGCGTGCCTGCTCAACATATAATCATCCAGTGTAAGGCACCATGAGAGATATATCCATGAGAATAAAAAATAATAATTGTATCAATAAATGAATGTGCCCAGAGAGGGGGACCCCTGAAGGGGTTAATCCAGATGCAGGGCGCGGTGATCGGGTGATTCCTGTAGGGTATAGTAATATAGTATGACCCTGTGCAGGGTATAGTAATATGGTATGACCCTGTATAGGGTATAGACCCTGAGTAAGGTACAAAGACATAATCTCCTTTAATGCCTGCATGTAAGTATTTGTTTGGCAGACACTGTTGGCAGGCACTGTGGCAAAATACATCGAAAGAAAACATGGAGAAAAAACTGAAATCCAGCTTTCAGTCTCCCATTGTTCACTTGGGAGAGCATACACTTGTGGAGCCTGGCGGTCGGGTGAGTTCCCGATCCGCCGAGCGAGCAGGGAAGGCGGCCGTCGGGTATCTCGCGAGCCGCGAGATCCAAGATGGCCGTCGCCCACATGTAAAGGTGCGCCGCGGATCACGGTCGCGCGGCGCAAAACAAATGGGATAAATGCAACACAAACGCTGACCCCAGCCTCCCTCCACCCGTCCCCATACAGTCCCCTGTGTAAGTGAAAGGGCTGGTCCGCGAGGCGAGCGCGACACGGGTAGTCGTTGCGCCCGCGGATACCAGGCAGTAAGGTGGAAATAAAAAGGGGGAAAAAACAGAGGGATACAGTGAAGGGACAGGAATAAGGGGGGCCAAGGTAGCAGGTGTTAGCAATAAATAGAGTAATATATAGTGGTATGACAATCAAAAAACAGTGTAAATTAAGAATCTACCAGAGAGGTAAAATACTCTGACCTGATGTATGGCTGGAGCAGCAAAGAAAGAGGGAGTGATGTCATAGACAGGGCCTTTTATGGGCATCATAACTTTTTTCTGATTGGTTGTTATGTTTCTATGCTGCTGGAGTTTTCAGTAAAGAAAGATATGCAAATATGAAGCCTCCTGTCATGTGGTAAAATTAATAATAATACAGGAACATTGTGACAAACTATCCTTTTCAAGTGAGTTTGCCATGAGTTCTTGGAGGGGCCTGCTTGCCAGCCTCCTGCCCATAGACTATGGGCCCCGCAGGGAAACCTGTAAAAGACTACCGAACTTGACCGACTGTTAGCACTGGGATGCGACTTTTATGGGGTTTTGTGTGTTTTTAAGGTACTTTTTGGGGTTTCATAAAATTGTATGTTTTTTCTATGCTTGGAGATAATTGGGTTAGCTTAGTACAATTCCTGATTCAATTATCTCCTAAGCACAGAGGAGGGATTCTATTGTTTGTGTATGGGAGTAATTCACTGTATGACTCAGTTTTTATTGGTTGTTCACTTTGTGTCCCTGTGCCCAACAAGGCCACCTGGGTGTCACCCTTGTTGGGAATCTTGCATAAAAGGCCAGTGTACCTCCATTAAAATCTATTCCAGCTTACACTCCAAAACTGTGTGTCGTCCTGTTATTGGAGGGAAAGAAGATTTACAACTGTGTTTGCTGTTCCAGATTGCAGGGGATTCAATGGGGAAAGTCCTTGTAAGGACTAGAGCTCCCAGGACTGAGTGTTGTCCAGTGCCTCGGGGTGTCTAGAGCTAATTCCCTATTCGGCTCCAGGAAGGAGCAGTTCCAGGGCCTCAGTCAAGCCATGCCGACTGTGGGCAGAAGTGCTGCGGTTTTCCCCCTATTCCAGCTAGGAAGTGGTGCTTGGTGGAGGTACCCAGTCGGGGTACACGGAGCTCTGCTAAAAACTTGATATTAAAACATACTAGACAAGCACCATTGTCAAATTGAGATCTGCATGCTAAAGCCAAAATAACTGATATACTGAGCAAATGACCTACTAAGATAAAGAAGTGTTTATATACTGAAATTTAAACAAAACAAGAAAGGTCATATTAATAATAAAGAAATACTAATATAATTATTAAAAATACAATACAATAAGCAGTGCCAGGGGAAATAAAAAATAAATAAATCACCAGAAAAGGTCTCCAAGCAGTGTACATACAACAGAAACTTAAAGGGTAAAAATAATGAACAGATTAGCCTGCACGGTAATTTTAAGACATACACTATATAGTTTCTGCCATT